ACAGTTTTGGTCTAGGAATGAGAAATCTAGCTATATCTATACATGTTAACTTAGAATTTTTAAGAGACATTGTTAACTATAATATAATGTATAAATTTAGTATAATTCCTAAGTATAAGCATAGCATAAATTTTACAACAATTAAATTACCAATACTTGAGCTAAGGTCAGTTAGTGCTCGATAATATTATTCTTGCTAGATAAACAATTTGATCTTGGATTTGCTTTAATTAAAATGGAAATGGTAGAGGTATGCCAAAATGGAGGAAAATGAAGCTTTAATTGAACTATAAACTGAAGTCTTACCTATATGAAATTATTTTTAGTTTACAGCAGGTTTTTTGGCGAAAGAAGTTAGAAACTTTAGATTGGCAACGACCATTTCAGCTTTTCCTTTTCCCTTGAGTTTTTGCTTTGATATGAATTATATGTTGTTGTTAAGTTTAAATTTTGATGGGAAATGAGTTAGTTTGTTTACTGTATATAAGTTTAAGTCAAGTAGAAGCTATTTCTCTTGGTGGGCAGCAGCTATTTCAGGTAACGGGTGCCCTTTTAGATATATTAACGTAGAAATATATATATATTGGCCATAATTAGAACTTATATTTCTATGCCAAGACAAAGGAAATTTATAAAGCCTATGTTTAGGAGTGAATCAAGTTACTTAGTAGATATATATGTTTGAATATATATATATATATATTTGATAATTAGTTAGAGGACAATTAATAAAATCATTGGAACGTGTTGAAGGTTATTATAATTTGTAGATTTATTTATTGGTGAACGTTGACATACTTGTACTGAAAGGAGGATGGGACTTAAATTGTTGATTGCCCGACGGATGGGCTGTGTACATTGATTGATAAATATAAATAATATTGCGATATTTGTGATATTTAAACAGGTAGATAGTCCAAATTATAGGGGAGGTGCTGCCGAAATTTCGTTAGAATTTAAACTAGTTTTAATTAATAACATAATTAAAAAATTTATTTAGATTAATTCTATAACCTAATGCATAATGAATAGAGTGCTCTAATTATTTGTTTATTATCTTTATTATTCATTTAATTATTTAAGAATTTAATTATTTTCATCGTTATTGTTTATTATTGTCATTTATTTTATTGTTGTTGTTTATTGTTAATGGTATTTATTTAATTATTTAATTGCATATGAGAATGGATGTCTAATTGTGCATTGCAGTCCAACTGATCTAATATGTCTGCACTTTAATTGCAATGTTTGACTTAACTTGTGTTTGTGTTTATGCTATGCTTTGTTTGTTGCTGGAGTTGGGACTGAAGTGGCGTCACCATTGGGTTTCGTGAGACTGTTTCTGTTATATGGATTCTCTGATTCTATTTCTGTTTAGCTGGGTAATATGGGAGATCGACGCCCCCCGTGTGCACCTATCCGTTTACCTTACCGTTTAACCACGGATGGCTTGCTGCGTCGTTGTGCACCGGACAGTCTAATTTGATCGCAGCCCGCCAGGGTGGGGCCTCCTGTTGGTGAGCGCTTATGTTCTTAGATGGATGGAGACCACCGGGTTGCCTTTTCTGTTGGTATGAAAAAAGAAAAGAGAGGATAGAAAAACAATTGAGAGGGCTGGTCAAGTAAGGATTAGACAGATCGATTCAGTATGGGGATCGGCTCCCTGGTGACACACGTGAGAGGATGAGCCATGTGGAGGACGGGCTCATCAGGGGTTTCGGTGACTCCACTGGACTAATTTCACGTGATGTGGATTTATATTGAATATGTTTAATGATTCATTGAGTGCTGGTATGTGTCATTGTGTGACTAAGCTGCGTGAGCATTATAACTAGTCGGATTGCTAGATTGATTTGTTTAACACATCTTGTATGAACTGCCGTGTGTTGTGCACAATAAATTATTACTTCCTAGGAAAACTCACATGTCTTGTTTGATTTTTTCAGGAAGTAAGCTTTTCTTTAATTCGATTTTAGGCTATATTTCTTCGGCGCAGGGAATAGATAAATTCCTGGGTTCCATAATTATTTTTTTCTATGTATTATGTGTATTAAACAGCTATGTTTACAAAGAGTTAGTGACTCCGCAGTTGTAGGATTTTCAGTATTATTTAGTCGTGTTATTAACATAGACAAAAATAATTCTGTAAAGCCCATATATAGAATGTGATGTATTGTAAATTTGGGCCCGAACTATAGAATACTGTTAGAATGTGATGTATTGTAAATTGGGCCCGAACTATAGAATACTGTAGAAGATAAACTTGGGCTGAGAAATAATAAAATATTGAGGTTTATTTTTTTCATAATCATATGGGCTGAATGTCGAAATTTATACCGAGATAATAGATTCTAGTGTTCCAAGCTTACTACGGGTCTCGGGGGCCTTAAGCTTACCTAGGCCCTAGTGCCGGTCCGACCCACGGAATCAGGTCATGACAGTTATTTATCTATAAAAACTAAAAAATAAGGTAGAAAACTCAAAAATTTGTTAAAAAAGAGAAATAAAAACACTGGAAAGAGAGAGCGCCGGGTCAGCTTTATAAAGATGTTTTTTACTTCAGGATTATATATATATATATATATATACTTATATATTATATATATATATATCTATATAAGTTAGGATACATATATATATATAAGTTAGAGATACTATGATTTTTAATGGCGATGTTAATTTTGAAGATTTATCTAATTATCATAAAATAAGAAATTAAATATTTTTGTCTTTTATATTCATAACTTATTATAAATGATTGTTTAGTTATTTGAAATATTAATAAATTATACTTATTTAGTGTAACACATAATAAACATATTAGTGTTTTACTTTTTTAAAAATTATTGTGTCTTATGTCAGTATCCTATCGTATCCTGTGTCCATATTCGTGCTTGTGCAACCTATAGTGCATGTACTTTCCTTTTTGGATTAAAAAAAAGATAAGTTTATTATGTAAAAAAAAATATGCATATCAGTTTATTTTTGAAAAATAACTAATCTAGAAATTTTTTTTTTTGATTTTTTTTTTTTTGATATTTGGAGTGCTAATGAAAACCAATCAACAAACAAAATTATTCCCATTAAAAAAAAACTAAGACATTTTTAGGGAAAAAGACTTACCATTTTCAACATAGGAAAATATTCTCTGAAAGTTTAACAAATTTATAATAACCTTATAAATATATATATTTTTTTCAATTTATTAAAAACCGGTAGCCATCATTGATCATCGCATCATTGGCCATCATCGACCACTACCACCGAATGCCATCGTCGACCATCGCATCATTGGCCACCATCAACCACTACCACCGAATAATTACTATAATTTATTATTTTTATATATTTTTCTCATATTTAATAATCAATTTTAAAATACAAAATTTTTATAATTATATTATTATATTTAAAATTATTCTTTATGGTCTTAATAACATTAAAATTTTAATATTTTTTAAATTTAAAAAAAATATTTTTTAACTAATTTTCAATGTTGTTTATTAAATGAGCGAAATCTTATAAATTAAAATTTTTAATATTTTTAAATTTAAAAAATTAATATTTTTTAACTAATTTCAATGTTGTTATTAAATGGCGAAAATAATTTATTTAGAAACTATTTTTTGCAAAAATTATTTCTTTTGGAAAATATTTATTTTTGAAAACTTTTCAATTCATTAATTTTCCCGAGAAAATAATTATTTCATTCTTGAGATTTTATAAAATTAATTAACTATCTTCATATTTTATGTATATATAGGTAGTTCTCGAGGTTTGATTTCGTCACGTTAAATGGTCCTTCCATCCAATTTTAATGATTTTTGCCGTTAAATATCTAGTAAAAGACTAAAATACCCTTATAATAAGGCAAAAAATAAAGCACTATCTTTCTTATTCTTCATCTTTCCAAGTCCCCATTCCTGCAACTATAGAAACTCAAATAATAGATAAATTTAAACAAGTTAAAAGCTTGGGTTAATAAATGGTAAAATTAGAAATCCAAAGGCAATATTCATTTGAAAGATATAGCTCTCTTCCACGAAATCATATAGTCATATTTACTCATATTTATATATAATATACATGGGCCCTTTTCAAAAAAATATATATATATAAAATACATGGGCAAATATAATATACATTTGCTGAGATGATTCATATCTCAAACTGAGGAAACTTAATGACATTTGAGAAAGAAATTGAAAACAGTATATGATTTCCACGTATGGAATGAAACCGACGTAGAAAATAATGCCTTCTCAACGAACGAAAGTGTAGAGAGATTTGTGAAAAGGTGAAAAAGTGAGGGATTTGGAGGTGAAAAATGGAACATGTAACTCAAAGGACCCATCCGATCCGCTTCGCTCCCCTTTTCTCCTCCATCAGGATCCAGACCCTCAATCAATTACCATCAGCTTCAAGCTCCTCTATCTCGAGTCTCGACCACCGCCGGCTATTGCTTTTGTTTCGCGGAGCATACCTTTGAAAAAATAGAATAGTTTAAGAAGTGGGATTTAAGAGATATGTCGTTGAAATAATATCTTTGAAAAAATAATGGTTGGAGAAAGGCAGTTTGATACAACGACTTTAATTGGTTGAGAGATGTAGGGAGATACAACGACTTCAATAGTTTTTTAAAATTTATTTTTAATAATTTTTTAAATATATTTATTTATTTATTTATTTGAGTTTGTGAACGGAAGTGAGATTTTAGAGAAATAAATATGAACAAGGATAATGTTTAAATTTTCGTCTCATGGCAAGGATATTTTTATCATATTATAAAAGTATTTTAATCTTTTAATAAATATTTAAATATAAAAATTAATAAAATTAGACGGAAAGATCATTTAATGTTTGGGCACTAAACCTCAAATATTAAATAGTTTGATGTATAAAAATAAAAGATAAGTTAATTAATTTTATAAATCCCCGCGCCAAATAATTATTTTCCCAATTTTCCTAGTGGAGGATGGAGCTGTCCTTTTCTCCAATCTTGGAAACTTGTGGCAGCATTATCCACTACGTGGATCTGTTTAAAAACACTTCCACAATTTTTCCCTTGGCCGCTGCACACTTCCTTCAAGTGTGAAATCACTTTGCACTTTCAAATTCCCATCAGTTTAATTATAGCATTTCAATGTTCCTTCTCAAGGTAATCCCTTCCAAACAAATCTCTTTTCTTCTTTTCTTTATTTTTATTTTTCAAGAATTTCTTTTTATATGCTTTTGGTTTTCCAGTAACTGAATAGTTTCTGTATTATCTTTCACTTCACAGACATGGAGATCAACAGCTTTTGGTGTTTATGGGTACCTAAATTTTACCAAATCTGGTTTCTTGTAAGTCCATTTTCCTTTTTTATTTCTTAGGTTCTTGTTAGTTATAGGTGTCAACTGGTAGAGGCAAGACAGAGTGTTTCTGGGTGTTTTTTTTTTTTTTGGTTGCTTAATTGTATTTCTTTTACTGGTGATATGATTGGGTTTTTTAGATCTATGAATAAATTAAGGAAAATGTTTAACTGGGTTTAGAATGTCAATTTAAGATGAGTGTAATTTGTAGTTAAATTTGTTTGGATATCCAAAGCAGTGTAATTTAGGACGAGAAAAAAAAAAAGGAGGATTTTCTCAACTGCTATACTTATTATTATCGCCTATTATATTGTTAAATTAAGAACATTTTCCCTATGTGCATGCCTGTGCTCATATATAATTTTTTCGGGGAATTGTTGTTGATATTTGAACTCATGGAAATGGTTCTCTATCCATTCCTCAATGATTGATAACTTAAATTATCTGTAGGGAGCATTCCAAAAATTTCAAACCAGAAGATATGCAGACTAGAATAGAAGGGAAGAATTGCATGGTAACTGGAGCAAATTCTGGCATTGGTTATGCAACTGCTGAGGCCCTTGCTTCACGGTGTTTGAATGCTTTACCTATTGTTTAATTTTTTGAATTTACATTTTGAATGGTTTTCATGTATATAGTGTACGTTATATGGTTTTTTAATATATTTTCCCATTTTATTCAGCGGAGCAACTGTATATATGATATGTCGTAACAAGGAGCGTGGGGAAGCTGCTCTTTCTAACATTCGGAGTGAAACTGGCAACCAAAATGTTCACTTGGAGGTATTTTTCACCCTTTTGTGCATATATGCACTTCAGATGTAGAAGGTAGCATTATGTGAATCATGCATTGACTCAAGAAGTTTGTTTGGAGTGAGGTAATCTGAAGTTAAAAATTTTATGGTTGAAACCTCTTTAATCTTAGTTTACATGAAATGCATTCGTTTGCTTCTTTATGAAAATAAGTAAAGTTGAATATGATCTCTAAACATATAAGATTAGGGATGTGGAAGGAACATCTCATTCTGGATCATCATGAATGATTGCTTGAGGTCATTCTTAATGAATCTCTTGAAACTTCATAGTATGCCTTTCAATAGATTTAGAGGGAAAAGTATTGAGCTTTTCATGGTTGTTAACTTGTTGGATGAGTACTGAGTAACAATAATCTCTGTGCATGTTGTTTTGATGTTAAAATGTCTCATTACATCTAGTTTGCAGGTTTGTGACCTTTCATCTGTTAGTGAGATCAAGTCTTTTGCGACCAGATTTGCTTCAAAGGAAGTCCCAGTTCATGTTTTGGTAAAGTTCTGTATTGATAAAACTTCAACAAAATAGAATAACCTCTATATTTGCTGACCAGCAAAATCATATGATGTCTAGAACAAGCAGATGCACATGATTATGGGACTGAAAGTTTCTTAAAAAAGTATGCAGTCGTCATTTCGATATTTTGGCATGTAGTTAACCAGAAACCGTCCTAGTAAATTTAATGTGCAGTAATTTGGGCTGGTATATTTGCCAAGTTAAAAGCCTAATGTCGATATATTTTTCTGTCTTTAGGTTAACAATGCTGGTTTGCTTGAGAATAAACGAATTACTACATCAGAAGGGTGCATTTTTCTTGATAATCTATATTTTTGAAGTTGCAATACATTTCTAGCAGAATGTTAATTCCTGATTTCTGTGTTTTGTCTCCAGATTTGAATTGAATTTCGCTGTAAATGTGTTAGGCACATATACCATGACAGAATTAATGCTGCCTTTGTTGCAAAAAGCTGCACCTGATGCTCGAGTTATTACAGTTTCTTCTGGCGGAATGTACACTGCTCCCTTGACCACTGATCTACAGGTAGTTTCAACTGTGAAGTTGTGAATCTCTACATATTCCCAGTTGGATAACCATTGAACTCCAACTAATTGTCTTATTGCAGTTTAGCAATGAGAACTTCAATGGAGTGGAACAGTACGCTCGAAACAAGCGAGTTCAGGTTTGTAAAATCAATATTTCATCCAATCTATGAATTGTTTAAATGAATTTGTGGTTATATCTTTTAATACATTGTAAATGCTATCTCAGTAGCTTGTGTCACAGCTGTGGTTATTGGAGCATTGAAACAAAATAAAGAAAAGCTCTATTTTTCAATATGTTTTCCAAGATAAGACCTTTTACTATTGGACAAGGAGCAGAAAAACTTGTAACGAACTAGCCCATGTGACCATGTCTTTTGTAAATCCAATTTCCTGGAACTGATGTACGTTGCATTTTCTTTGTGTGCGTATAAACCTGTGTTGGTTACTTCCGAAAATTCAGTTAAAGTCTATCTGAAAATACATTTAGAATCTTCTGTTTTGAATGGAATATTTTGTTTCTCATATCTATTAAAGATTAAAACCTTGTTTTTCAGTTCTTCATCTCTTTGTTGAGTGAAGTCACCAAGCTTTGTAGAGATTAAATCAAATTTTCGACATATTTGTCCATTTGTTTCGAACTTGTAGATTTATTTATTCTTTAATATGATCCTTGTTAGGTGGCATTGACTGAAAAGTGGGCTGAAATATACAAGGACAAAGGCATCTCATTCTACTCAATGCACCCAGGTTGGGCTGAGACACCAGGAGTAGCTAAGAGCTTACCTAGTTTCAATAAATCGTAAGTATCAGTTCTATCAAATATCATTAAACAAGATAAACTTTTCACTCATCTGAGCAATATGTTTTTTCTTCTCCTGTGTATAAATGCATTCTAGGTTATCAGGAAAGCTAAGAACGAGTGAGGAAGGTGCAGACACGGTGATTTGGCTAGCTTTACAGCCCAAGGAGAAGCTAGTATCAGGTGCATTTTATTTTGATAGAACTGAAGCCCCTAAACACCTGATGTTTGCAGCTACCAGGAGCTCCCATGGTTTAGTAGATTCGATTATTAGCAATCTCCGTTCCATGTGTGCACTTTCTTCTTGATTTGAACTACTTACATATCACTCTTTGATACTTATAGGAAAAGATCGCAAATTATTATTATATACTTTACTCCTACCAAAAAATAAAAGCAGGACTTTAGTGGCTCATTCTTTTCTATTGCTAAATTCATTTTCTTTTCCGTAGCTTTTTACTTTTGTTAACTATCACTTGCAAATAGTTATATCTCTAAGACCTTACCTGATATAAATGAATACTATAAAATTTTGTAGAATTCATTTAGAATTTCGTATTTTCATCCTTTGACATGAAAGAAAACAAAATAATAAAAAAGAAAAATGTTGGATATCACCCGGATGAATTAACATAACTAAATCATTTTTATCATTTATAAATGAATACCGTACCTAAATTTATTTATACCAAACAAGCAAGTAAATTGGAATCAGAAATCCACAACCTAACATATTACATTCTATTCCCAATGATTTCTTTCAAGAACTGAGGTGGCAGTAACAATATGGGTGACTAAATTTGTATTCTACATGAAATTCAGTAAAGAAAAGAGATATCAAATCCCTCATGTAGCATCAACTACATAACCATTAGCTTGAACATCAAAGGATCCCAATAATTCATGCTTTCTCAACCAATACTGCTCAAACCTCTCCCTTGCATACTCCAAGTAGTCAAAATCTAGTGTGTTTACATAACCCTGAAAATATAGAAAATTTAATAGATCAGAAATCTCTTTTTACTTGCACACGTGTGAGCCTGTGGATGATAATGATGAAACAGAAATGCACAATGCTTACTGAAATTATTCCCCATAAGCCCCAAAGGAGATGGTTTGCTAGAGTATACTTCTCTGCATCATTGACTAGCTGTTCCACTTCATCTTCACTAGGTTTCTCACCTGTAAATCAACATTTTCCCATTTAATAAAAATTTTAAGAACCACACCTTAAGCTTTATTAAAAATCTGCAGAACTTAGACTTGAAAAAACAAACCTGCTGAACTTAGATATGCACGAACAAATCTGCAGCGCTCCTCTAATCCTTTTGTCAACAAAATTATGAAAAGAAAAAAAATTTTGAGTATAAATTCTGATCTCATTCCTAAGATATTTATACCCACTTGATATGAATATGTTACCTGGATATCTGCTATAGTCCAGAATATGTGGTGTATCAGAATGATAATCAGCTACCATTTCACAGAAGTGGTTTGCAATGTCATATGCAACAGGATTGTAACTTGAATACTCATAGTCCTATGAATATAAACAAATGGTAAGAGCAAAAAAATTGCACACTGGGAGAAGAGAATAAAATAAGGCACTTTCATGAGAAAGTAAATACCAATTAACAGGATATAATATATCATAAAAAATGAATGATCTGTTCAAAGTAAAAGATTAATAAGAAAATTCAGGGTAAAAGAAGATTCGAGCAAACAAAAAATGGCTTGTTAAATTGATGAAGTATTCTCTAAAAATGAAAAGTGGAATATTTAAGAAAAAGTTGGGACCTTTGGCTTCTCATGTTTTTTTATTTTTCTTTTATATGATTAGTTTCAACTGCAATTATTTAGCAGCAGAATGCACTGTCACCAACTATATCATATTCTAAAAGGAACTGAAACTTGTATGTGCTTGCAACTGGAATAAAATATTAAAGGGGTGATTCTTAAATACTTACAATTATGGTGATTGATCTTGTCTCTTCATCCATCATTATGTTACCATATTGCAGGTCATTGTGACAAAATCTTATTTCCTGATATTCTTGTGACAGTTGCTTCTCTAGCATATTGATTTCATCTTCTAGACTATCCAAATGAAATTGCTTTGCATCTTTCGCAGAACACAAACATTTTGCCTCAGCCAGCCAATCCCTAGAAGTAAAAATTGCAAAAGATAAAGTATTATAGTAAAAGGTATTAGATATTATCAATCCAAAAACAGAGTTTTCATATTAGAAACCAATACCTCATTCTGCTCCATAGTAGTACTTTCTTTGGACCAGGCATATCAAGATCGTGGAATTCTCTCATCTTTTCTGCCACTAGAGCAGATATTTCAGGATCACGGAGGTCAGCAGCTGATAGTGTCTGGACATCCGACAAAGGAAATGGGAAACACTCGTTTTATGAATTATTGTAATAATGGAGAAAAGATAACATGCAACTATTTTACAGTATCAGCATAATAGCTACGTTTCAGCTTATAAAAAAACAATTGATGGATTGTAATAACAAAGGGAAAAAGCAAGCATGTGTATGACCAGGTAAGATTACATGGTTATTAACTCTTTTGGGATATCCTTATCTAAATAGCAGAGACAGACATGGGTAACGAGAGGGTGAAAAAGGAATGAACAGACAAGGAGAGGAATTTAGGCACAGTTTAGACACTGCTAGTCAAATAAACAGCTTAACTGAAAATTTTGACCATATTTAGGCTAAAAATTAGTCTATATACGATTTGCTATTTTCCATAACTAGCTCGTTCCATTTTCAGCCTAATCCTCATTTGACCAATCAGTCACCATCTGTAAAATCAACTGTGTTTGCTTTTCTTATTTTCAAGCCCAGAAGAAAAAATATCCCCAAAATCGTTGCTTTTTGTAAAATCTATGTCCCTAGAGCAGCACTCATAAGAGCCAAAATTTTGCAACTAGTGACCTGGTTGCAATTTTCACTTTTTGAGGAGAAATGTCAAATTCCGTATAATTATAATCAGAAAGAGTTCCATAAATATGGTAACCATTATCTGTTAACTGATAGGTGACAAGCAAAATTCACAAGCACAAAGAAACACAAAAAGTCATATGCTCAATAGATGCAAAATTACATTTCTTTACTTAACAAAAAAGAAAGCCAAATTTACATACCCTAGCATGAATGAACTCTTCAACTCTGCCATCTGCAAACCGGCCAAGAAGCCTAGGCCCTTGTCCATTCTTTGACATACATTCAAAAGTCCTAATCTCATCATCTCTCCTGAAAAACATTTCAACACCTTCACCATAAATCCGAATCAACAATTTTCGAATAATATCACCATTCTTTGTAGGCCAATTTATTTGGAAAACCTCATTAGTCATAGCTCCTTTTAATGGTATAACCTGCAAAGAATTCATATCATCCACCACATCTCCCCATTCAGAGGCCACTGATTGAAGAACTTTCTTTAGTTCTTCTGGGAAATTCCTTTCAATTAACCCCTTTGTTTTTATTGTCATTTTTGTATCTCCAGGTAAAAGAGACTTCTCTGACCAAGATTTTACTGCACATATGAAATTTAGAAATCGTATCAAAACTCCAGTATAATCAAACCAAAATAATAAGATTATAATCTAGTCTAAAGAACAAAGAATCCAAACAATACTCATAGTTATACCTACAAATAGAAAAGGGGATAATCAAGAATCAAGAATCAAGAAACCAAAAAAAAAAAAAAAAAAAAAAAAAAAACTTTCTCCTGACGCAAGATTTTACTGCACATAATGAAAATTTAGAAATCGTAATCAAACTCCAGTATAATCAAACGCTAAAAATTAATAAGAATTTAAATCTAGTCTAAAGAACCAAGAATCCAAACATACTCATAGTTATACCTTACAAATTAGAAAAGCGGGATTAATCAAGAAATCAAGAATCAAGAAAACCAAAAACAAAAAACAAAAAAAAAAAAAAACAAACAAACGATACATACCAATAATAGAAGAAGTAAAAAAAAAAAAAAAAAAAAAAAAACAAACAAACGATACATACCAATAATAGAGAAGTAGAAGAACACACACCCAAGAAAGTCCAAGAACTGAACCAAGAAAGAAGAAACTCAAGAACAGCAGGGAAAGATACAAGAATTGCAAGAAAGTAGCGGAAATGAAATCCAAATATTTCTGAACCAAAAGAACCTATTTATAGAGTAAATAAAACAAAACCCAATAATTAAAATATTGATTTACAACGATATATATGTAATTATTACGTGAAAAAATATATTCTCACGCTTTAATCGCAGAATTAGTGAATTACCTCTGCTAGTGCTTGATAATAGACGTCCCACGCATACTCTCGTTGGTTTGCGTGTTCGATATCGTGAGACCGTTACGTACAGAGGTCTGCAGCAGTAAAACAAACGAATCATCTTTTGACACGCGTAAAGAGATGGATCGATTTTCTTAGACCGAGAGTTTTTCTTCTACGAAGAAGCAGAGTGGATTGGAGACAGGAGTCTGGTCCCCGATTTCCAGGGCTATAAAAGTAAAATCAGTTTTTAATGCGCATCAGAGGTCAAGGTAGTCGACACGTGGACGTATCGGTTTTGTCGACCTTTTCGTGACGGCTGGCTTGGGTGTGAAAACGACAGAGCGTTTCAATTTTCTTTATTAGTTTTTTTTAAATCGGCCAAAAAAAGATGGTTAGAGTGTCAGAAGGCGTGTTATTAATTTATCATATTATGGTCCGCATTGACGGCCAGAGGTACACAACAATTTCAGTAACAATGACAATGATATATATTATAATATATAAAGAAAAGAAAAGAAAACGGCAAAAGAAAATTTATTTGGATTTTGTGTAATTGATCATTTTGGATGGCAAATTGTCATATTTTTTTTTTATTGTTTTTCAAGAAAAAAAAAAGAAGACAATAAGTAGCTTTTTCAAACTTGAGATTGAAAAGGCTAAAATAAAATAAAACCTAAAATAAAATTAAAACCTAAAATAAAATTAATTAAGTAGTGAGACTTTGTAACCCTGAAATTTTATTAGAAAGTCTAAGATTTATTAAATATATAGTACAACTTGGGACCAAACATCACTTTCGGATAATGAGTGGGCCACGCAGCTGACATTATCGTTTTTTTCAATCTTTTTATTTTTAATGGTTGACTTGTGTTTAAACGACGTAGTATTTTACTTATCTATTAATTTTTATATTTTTAAGGCTTTTTTTATGGGTGATGTTATTTCCCGAGCAACTATTGCTAATGCCAGAGAAAATTTATGATTTGATAAGATTATCCTTTCCTCTTCCCTTTAATCTTGTATCTCCTTTTTCACAAATGCAGAACTTCTTATCTCAGTCAATTTCTGAAAATAATTCAGTCATAAAAATAATTATATTTTAATTTAATTACTTAATTTACTTGATTAGTTACAGTTGAAAATATCATTAGTATTCCTTATGTTTTCTCATTTTCTTGTTTTTGTAAAGAATTAAATGATTTAGTTTATTCCAATCTTCACCGCTGTTAGTGAGAAAAAAAGTAAGTTTATATTGTTTGGTAAGTGAAATAATTGTATATAATCAATGAATAAATCGATAAGAAACGGTCAATTTGCATCAATTCATGGAATAATATTATGTCTTGCTTGTAGTACTGCAGGTGCTTTAATTCAAGAATCCGGTGTGTGCTTTTCTATGTATATGGTGGGATTTCTAAATTTTGTTTAACTTATTTAATTACCGTGATTGGAGAATTTTGTTACCCATTTAAACAGAAGCACTTCTTATACAACCATAGAAATTTGAGAAAATAAGCCAGAGATGTCGTCAACCATCAAAATCAAGTAAATTATTTTTGGATTGAGTTATTTCCAGATATTGAATGAAATAAGAAGTTTTGCTATGAATGAATTGAAGGGAGATGGATGAGCAATGGGAAGGGAAAAGGGCACTTTGGTCTACATCATAAATTTGCTCTGCTATTAACGATTGTTGCTCTGAAAATAATACACCCTTTTTTATTATCGTGCAGAATTAAAAAATTGTGCGTAAACACACAAATTCTCTTTATATGCTATTTGGACATATTAACTTGCTAGACATGTTACACGGTTTTATATATATCAGTGTTCAAGAACGTGCGATGCACGTTGTTACTCGTTGAACATTAATTGTTAGAATGATTATTTATAGTTTATTTTTTTATATATTATTGTGCGTTAAACACACAAATTCTCTTTAATATGCTAGTTTGGGACATATTAACTTGGCTAAGACATGTTAGCACGGTTTTATATATATCAGTGTTCAAGAATCGTGCGACTGCACGTTGTTACCGTTGACAATCAAGAACGTGCGATGCACGTTGTTACTCGTTGAACATTAATTGTTAGAATGATTATTTATAGTTTATTTTTTTATATATTTTTTATTAATTTTTACAAAGACAATACAAAAATTCAATATTTTTAGTTATAATTATTACATGTTTATAAATAGGTGCAAACTACTATCATACATATCTAGTATTTAATGAAAAATTTTAATAATTTTTTACAATAGATTTTTTGACAAAATGAAATAGTTACAAAATGGAAAATAAATAATCATTTGATCCAAGATCTTGCCATATATAAAAATAAATATAAAAATTATTGGTAATCAAATTAAAATTTTTTTTTGTGATAGTATACCAAATAAAAAAATCAAAATTTAAAATTAATACCTCAGTCATTAATAATAATAAAGTGAGAAATTTTCGATATAGCAATAGCAAAGAAACTCTTGATAGAATGATAGTAGAGAGTCTTCAATGAATTATTGATGATAAAAGCAAAAAAAGTTTTGATAGTAGCTAAAGAAAATATAGTTATTTGATAGATTAAATTTTTAATTGAGTTATAATTTAAATATTTGTCCTTTATTATCATAATAATGGATATAATATGAAAATCAAAGTATAATAAAATTTTAAACTAAAACTATGGAACAATTTTAAAAAAAGAAGCGTTAAATGTTATAAAATTACAATCATGATTTAAATAATTTTTTTAAATTAAAAAATTATACTAATTAAAATTTACTTAACAGATTAAGAATAAAATAATTAATACTTTCAAAAGAATGATAAGACAAAAAGTAGCTAACGATATTAACAAAGGAAACAAAAAGAAATATGAGAATAAAAAAGAATTTCAATTTATAATTTATAAATTTAATTATTTTTATATTTTTAATATAAAATAGTTAAATCTTTTTGCAATAAAATTATAAATATAATTGATTTTATATTGGATTCAGTCAAAACTTCTAATTTTCATTCCTAATTAAGGTTTGGTAGTATTTTTCGGTTACGATTTCTAATATATATTTGATTTATTATTATATAGTTTATTTAATTAATTTATTATTATAGTTTATTTTATATAGTTTATTTAATTAATTTATTATTATCAATCTTATATAGTTGATTAGTTTATTACATTTTGTATTAATTTAAATATTATTTAATATTAACTAACATGTTGCATGTATTAATTATTAAGATAATACAAATTTAAATTAAATAATACAAACTATATTCACAAAAGTATGTGACGTTTATTGCCTACTTTTTTTCAAAATAATGAATTTATTTATTCAAAAGTAAAATTCTTAAAGTTTTATATTCTTATCATACATATCTTATATAATAAATAATATAATTTATTATTTTATCCAATAGAATTTATTTTTAAATAGGAAATTTTATGTCTTTAATAATTAAATTAGCTTTATTTTTCAACCAATAATCAAAATCCTTAAAGTTTTATATTCTTACCATATATATCTTATATCTTATTGTAACGCCCCAGCCCATGGTAGATATTGTCCGCTTTAGGCCCAGCCCGCACGGTTTTGTTCTTGGGCCAGCAACACATGCTGTAACCCAAAACGCGTCTACCATGTTCTAGAGTGCCACCCTTTATGTATAGTGTATAGGACTTCCACCCTTGTGCTTAGCCGTGTGGGATTCGCCTAAGGTGCAAGTCCCTGAACCATAAACACCCCCCTTAGGGACTCAGGCGTCCTCGCTGAGGTTTGCCCCCACCACCAGCCTAGGGACAAGCTTGGCTGCTGAACCAAATTTGTAACGCCCCGGCCCATGGTAGATATTGTCCGCTTGGGCCCCAGCCCGCACGGGTTTTGTTCTTTGGGCCAGAGCAACACATGCTGTACCCCCCAAACGCGTCTACCAATGTCTAGAGTGCCCACCCTTTTAATGTATAGGAACTTCCACCTTGGCTTAGCCGATGTGGGATCGCCCCTCTAAGGTGCAGTCCCTGACACTTATATAATATATATATAATAATTTTATTATTTCCTTCATAAATTTATAATAATAAAAAATTAAAACCTCCTTAATATTAAATTATCTTTATTTTTAAATCAAATAAAATTATAAATATTTAATAATTGTCTATTCAGAATTATATTAAACTTCCTGTAGTTCTAAGAACAGTGACTTAGATAATTATAAAATATAAGATTAATTCTATTAAGTTAAAATAGAGAAAGTTAAGATTATATAAATAGAGAAAGTTAAGATTATACTTACTACAAGAAGAAGACATGATTGCAAACATAATAATTCTTGATAGTCAAAAGCAACAAATTCGTGATAGTTAAGAGTAATAAATTCTTGAGAGTCCAAACTTAAAAGCAATTAAAACCAAATGTATATATAGTGGTATGATAGGGCAAAATCTTCATTAGAATAGTATTAAAGGACAAATTTGTAATTAGAGTGAGATTAAATTTATAATAGTAATATAATAAAAATAATAAATTGATATTATAATTAAAATAGGATTAAAGTCAAATTTCTAATTAGAATGAGATTAAATTTATAATATTAATAAAACAGAGCTGCCAATAAGGAATTAATAAATTTAATATCTTATATTATAATTTATAAGATATTAAATCATAGTATTTTTATATGTATAGGAATTCCAAAAGTTTTCTAATTAGAATATGAATAAATTATTTATAATTATATTTTAAATTAATCAACTAATAGAATACGATAAAAATTAAGAGTTTTCTAATTAGAACAAGATTAAATTATTCTTCAATCAACCAGTTAAATTAAAAATCTACAGGAGCGTTTTAGGAACTCATTAATGTTCCCCCTTATTCGCACTATATATATAATTT